TTATAAATTCAAATTCAAATTTTATTTGTCACATACACAGTCATACACAGTATGATATGCAGTGAAATGCTTAGACAACTGCTCGTGACCTAAAATAAAAGACTATGAAGAGGATAGGAAATAAATATGAAAATTAAAATAAAGGGTAAATTTAACTAGGAAAGAATAGAATTAAATATAAAAATTAAAGTTTTAAATTAAAGTGAAAAAGACAAAAAGTTTTCTGACGTTTTTCATGATGTATTGCTAAATAGTCAAAGAATAACATATAAATAGTTTGTTTATCCCAGAATTAACAAATTCCTGTGTTAAAGCAACCTGTAAGAAATTAACCAAAATAGCTCAGTAAAATCAAATATTTAAAGTAAGTAAAAGCAGTTGAACAAAGAAGAATTTTTCCTTTTTTTATAACGCAAAACATGGGAATGACCTTTATCAACTTGTCGTGAGAACAGACAGAGTAAGGGTTTAAGGATTTTGAGGTCGAGTCAGATGACCAAGGGGTGATGACTGGTTCACAAAAGGTGACAAGCAATAAATGTTATCGTGCTTTGTAGGCAAAAGTGGTTAATACTTCCAATTTAGGGAACAGGAAAAGATTCATGTTAGAAGATCAGCACTGTTCAAAGAATTCAAGATGAATGAGTTTTAAACCTAAAGGTTTTTTGTTTGCTTTTTCATTTTATAACAGCTATTAACCACCAATGATGAAATATTTCAACAGTCAATGTTTTTAATCGTGCATTAGTGTTAAAAACAATTTGTCTTGAATGATTAGGGATTCATTAGTGAGCTTCAAAACAGTACTCTGGCAGGGAAAGTGTTAAAAACTTCCCAATCACTACAACCAGTTTTCACTTTTGGGATGACAAATGCTGCTCCGTCACATTCGTCGGAATCAAGATGTTTGATTTAAAACGAGACCGCAGCAACTGTTTGTTGTTTTTCTGTTTGTTGTTTTTAGTTTTGCTTTGCATAAGACTTCCCCTCATCTTCTTCCACAATTACGCAGACACACACAGACACACACGTACACACACAAACAGGTTTGTGTTGTTCTTGTTGTTTCTTTGTGGTGGTTTTGGAGGTTTCCAGAAGCTGCGTATCCAGTTGCTTAACTGAAACTCTGCCACTTCCTTTTCCATACACCGCTGTGTGTTTTACGTGCTGTAAAAATGAAATGTGTCTGCGTTTAACAAGAAAGACGAGAAACACTGAAGCCACTTCAACCACTTGAACAGTGTCTAGAGAAGGGATGTCAAACTCATTTTACACAATCGGCCACATACAGCCCACGTTGATCTTAAATGTTTTTTTGTTGCTGTTTTTTTTGTGTGTTTTTTAGGGTTTTTTGTTTTGTTTTGTTTTTTACCATGGACTTGCTACTATCTGAAAAACAGTAACTTTCTGGTCATTTGATTTTCTTTATCTGTTAGTTATATTCTTATATGTAGTATGAAGGGCAATGGGGGTGGGGAGTCTTTATTAACAGGAAAAGCTATAAAACCTATGAAACAGTACAGTTACATGCAGTTAAAAATTCACAAACTGTGCACTCCTTCACATTTTCTATAGCTTTCCGGTGGGCTGGATTATAGTCTTGGGTAGGCCAGTTCTGGCCCCCAGGCCTTATGTTTGTCTCCCGCTGGTCTAGTGTGAGATACCACATATCTGTAATTAGGAACATTACCTATTGTACTTATCAATATTTCTGTTTTTCTTGTGTTTTATGTGGCTTTTTTATATTAGTCCCCATAATAATCCTGTATACCGCAAGCAGAAATAGTCTACGTTGCTTTATCAGCTGTGTATGCACATGATCCCACATAACCTTTCTTTTCTTCTCAATCAGCATATAATAATGGCACATGCGCACACGAAAGCAGGACAGAGAAAAAGGAAGCGAGAAGAAGGGTTGGTCAATAAAAGTGCTTCTCCAAGACAGCACTGTGAGTCGAGCTGAGCCGGCTATAAATATCTTCCTCTTTTTCCTCCCCGTCTCCTCCAGCACAGTCTTCGCTTCGCCTTCCTCCTTCCACTGTAGCTCTTTAATGGCAGTGGAAATCACTGAAAAAATGACAAAGTGAGCCATTCACCTCATGGTAATTCAGACAGGATATTACAGTGACAGAGGGAAGGGAAATAACGGAAATTAAGGCCCATGTTTGAAGAGAATGGAGCGAATGATCGACACTGCTGATTGGTTACCCTCTGGTTTCCTGGCAACGCCATGACAGGGTTTCCTGCATGAACATGATCACCAGGATAGTCTGAGTAACAGGAAATATTCCCCACTCTGATTTGAAGTAATTAAAGCTGAGAGTTTATCATAAACTTGAACAGTTAAAGGAATTAATCTGCAGCTCGGTGCCGTTTCCTGTCCTATCCTTTCTACTGAAGCACTCCCGTGAGTTGAAAACATGTTCACATGGCTCACAATGAAGGCACTTCAGAATGGCTTCCAAATATACACATTTGAACAAACAGGTAGGTTTTGTCTCTGATGAGTTCATATTTTATAACTAAAATCCTCTGGTGCAGATCAGGTTACAGTTTCAATATTTTCTGTAAATAAATAAATCAATACACGATTGTTCCAATCATTCACACCCAAAGTCAGCAACTTTAAAGTGAAGCCAGTGTGGAAGTGTCAAAGCTTCCTTTTCTGCGTTAAAAGCTCTGAACTAGTGGAGGCTGTAGCACAGGAGGTAAAGCAGGTCATCTACTAATCGAGAGTTTGACGGTTCAGTTTCTGGCTTTGTAAAGCTAATCCACCTCATTTGCTCTCCAATATGTTCACTGGAGTGAAAAAGTGTGTGATTGTTAGATAGAAAAAAGTGCAGTGGGTGTGTGGGTGTTATAAAGTGCTTTGAGTGCTCAAGTACAGTCGAAGTGTTGTGTTTACAGCCTTGTACAAGAAATGTTTTAGTCTTAGTTTTCTACTACACAACAACTATGTGCTTTTTAATGTTGCTCATGTATTTAAAGCTTTATTTGGGTTAAAAGTTATTTGTGATTAAAGGTGTGTCTGCTTTGAGTGAAAGAGAGGTTTTTAATACCCCCATGACCCATCCACTGTTACATATCATGTCCAAAGATTTTAGACGATAGTTGATGCCCCATTCTGCCTTTTGAGCCACTGCCACTCATGTGACTGTCATCATCACCTCAGGTAATTTAAATTAGATAATTTCGACCTACATTATCTATGATGTTGCTGCTGTTTGAAGCATTTTCTAAACTTACAAGAAGGCAAATCTAAAACGCATATTGAACGTTTGCTGCCCTTTAACCTTTCAGCTTACAAGTAAAACGTCAGATGATGTGGAATTGCACAAACAGTTCAACTTATAACATCTGATGCACTCGCTGCTGCTAGTTTGTGTGTGTGAGGTGTGCTAGCTGGCTCAAGCATACTTTATCCAGGCATCTCCCTCAGCTAAACCATGCAGCAGCACATTTTTAGGAGTAAATGTATTTAAAGCAGATCGTACCTCTGCTATATGGGAGAAAGGAAAATTTTGAAAAATATTCCCATCTGCGTCTCCAGCAAGGTGGTCTGCAATTGTCTGAAGTTCATGTATTAAAAACAGCAACATACAGATTCCCTTTGTTAGCCACTTTAGCTAGGTACCTTAGCTGTCCACCCTCTAATCCAAATGTGGCCACTTTTAGCTCAACCCCTGCTCCCCCAGAATGGTCATATAAGGCTAAAATCAATCCCTTTAAACAGTTATCTACAAACCAAGAGTTGATGTCACAGTGACAAAGTCAAAAAAATTCTATCTAACACAAACACTGTATTAGCCTGGCAAGCTAGCAACCAATAATAGTTGAAATGATGTAAAAACAAACAAACAAACAAAAGAAACACAGCCAAGCCATGGTAGTCTTGGATTTCAAATATGGCAATACAGTCAAGGTCAGTACACAGATTTAACACAATAACAGCCATTTTACAGGCTTCAGGGAGCACTACTGTGGAGGGAAGCGTGAACGACACAGAGCTCTCAGTTCTCACGCCTTCCTTATTCCTCTCC